CTTCTTCTTTATAAAAATTAATATGATTGGATTAGTTGACGATGTGATCAATTTTTTATCATCACTCTAATATATATGAATGACGATGTGATCAAATTTTTATTGTCTTCTAGCTATATAAAATTTTTCACCAAGCTATAGTATATAAAAGTGCTATAAAATATAGCAGGATGATGATTAAAAAGCTTTTTAACCAACTGTTATATAAGGGTGTGAAAAAAGTGTCCCAGAAGCCCCTTTTGACCCTACTGTTATATAATTATAAAAAAGAAAGAGCTTTATTTTATTATGGGTTTAAAAAACATTGTGCTTTTATCAAAATTTATAAAATATATCAACTTGATGTTAGCTATTATAGAACAGATCCTGATGATATGTGGTCTCAAACAGGATTATTAAAAGCAATTAGTGGTGTTACTTTATTTGGATTAAATAATATAGACGTTCAAATAAATTTAAAAAATGCATGAGAATTAGTTTGTTATTCAAATGAATAGCATAATTATGAGAAATTAGAAAAATTATACAATTATCATCTACGTAGACGTATTTCACATCAAATTAATTGGTTTATTTTTTTTCAAAAATAGCAAGAAAATGATAACATTATTGAATTACATCAAAGTTTAGGTAAAATTTATCCAAAAAATTACGAAATATCTGATTGAGAATTAAGAGCATGGCATGCGATGTTAAATGCAACTGAATATACAAATATTACTCCATTTAACCATCAAGAATCAAAGGTTGGAAAGCTCTAACTATAAAATAAATAATTTTAGTGTGTTGAGATTTTGATATTGAAATTTTTCAATTTTCAAAAGATATCAAAATCTTTACGTATAAAATATAAACCTGTAAATTATATTTTTATATATTTAACAGTTTTTATATTATAAAATATAATTTGTTGAATTTATAAAATAAAAGCTATCAAATGTATATAATATGAATACTAATGAGACTTCGGGCTTTCAAATTTATCATTGATTATTTATTAGATTCAGTCCATAAAAAATCCAATTAGTGATATATATGATATGTAATTATATATTATATAAAGTTGAATCCGATAAATAAGTGATAAAATTAAAAGCCCAATGTCACAATTTTCCCGAGTAGCTATTCATATAATTTACAGTCTCAAATTGAATAAATCTATATTACTAATACAATATAATATTAAATTAGTATGAATTTTGGAGCAAATCACAACATTTTACAAAAGAAAAAAATTTATTTAACCTATTATACCAAACCGGATTTTTGCGTTCAATTCTTTCAATCATACCAAACTCAACTAAAATATTTTGAAACTGCTTTAAGCGATCTCTAGATAATAATAAAAGAGGTTCAAATGGAAAGCAAAGAATATTATTGATTATAGCAGACAGTTTTCCGTACCAAATATTAAGACAAAAACTTCAAGTAATACTTATCTTTTTTTTTATATAAATAATTATCTGATAAAATATATTTTTTTAAATAGCATTATTTATTAATCTTAGATCTCACCTAATACAATTAATACTGCCAAAATGTATGCAAGAATTAATAGCTATGGATGTTCTGCGGCTCCAAAACCACTTATGGTAAAACAAATTATGTCACAAGAGCGTGAAAGACAATTCGAAATTTTTTTTTCAAATAAAAACAATGTGAACATGAGTTCTTATAAAACTGATAGTAAAACTGGCTTACCCGTTCTTTATTTAAGTGATCAAAAAGAAGCACTATAGAACCGATTTCATCAACAATATCCAGATGGCATGAAAAGAACTGTATTTTTTGAGCGATTAAAAAATGGTCCATTTATTTATAAAGATGATTTAGGTGGGCTTTGCTCGATTTGTAGTCAGTATGGATATGATATATTTTTTGATCTAACGAACCTAGTTCGTAAAGAAGTTGATGATATAGAACAACAGGTAAATAATTTTTATTAATTATAAAATATATATATATATTATGATTTATTCTTTTCTAAACAAAAAATAGACTTACTTTATATCAGAATTAGAAAATCAAAAACGTTATCTAAAACTTCAATATTGTCAACATTTAAAAGTAAATTTTGATAGCACTGTACAACATGATATATGTATTAACCATTGTTTACTATTTGCGTTTGGAGAATGTAACAAAGCTCATACCTTAGAATGTAAAGAATATTCACGAATCTTTGGCCTTTTCGGAAAATTACATAATGTAATTTCTAAAACAAAATCAGAAAGTTTAAATGAATTACAAAATTAATTAGAATATTATATTTCACACCAAACTAGAAAACGATATCTTAATAGCCAATTTAATGCTAATTTAATGCAATTTAGTCCAAATAGTGCCTTAATAATTGTAGATTACA